CATCAGGGTCTTTTCCAATGAATTAGTCCTTTGCTTTAGGAGGCCAAAGTATTGGAGTTTCAGCTTCAGCCCTTCCTAGGAATATTCAGGCTTGATTTCCTTTAGGATTGATTGGTTTGATCTTCTTCCTGTCCAAAGGACTCTCAAGAGTCTTCTCTAGCACCACAGTTCAAAAGCATCAGTTCTTCGGTGCTCAGCCTTCTTTATAGTCCAACTTTCATATCCATGTATGACTACTGGAAAAACCATAGCTTTGACTATACAGACCTTTGTTGGAAAAATTATGTCTCTGCTTTTTAATACACTAGGTTTGTCATAGCTATTCTTTCAAGGAGCAAGTGTTTTTTAATTTCATGGCTGCAGTCACTGTCCGCAGTGATTTTGGAGTCCAAGAAAGTGAAATCTGACACTGTTTCCACATTTTCTCCATCTATTTGCCATGAAGTGATAGAACTGGATGCCATGATCTTAAGTTTTTTGAATGTTGAGTTTTAAGTCAACTTTTTCACTCTCCTCTTTCACCTTCATCAAGAGGCTCTTTAGTTTCTCTTCACTTTCTGCCATTAAAGTGGTATCATAGGCATATCTGAGGTTATTGATACTTCTCCCAGCAATCTTGATTCAGCTTGTGATTCATCCAGCCTGAAATTTCACATGATGTACTCTGCATATAAGTTAAATAAGCAGGGTAACAATATACAGCCTTGATGTACTCCTTTCCTTATTTTGAACCAGTTCATTGTTCCATGTCTATTGTTCCTTCAACTTAAAACTACACTAAAAAATAATTTAAAAAAATTTTTTTTTAATTTAAAAAATACGATCCAGCACATAGCACATATTTGATTCATATTGGTTACTTTTGGAAGTTGCATTGACTTAGCATCCCTGACACAATAGATTTTATTCTTGATGTGTTCTGATACCAGTGTTGGCACTGCCCCAGATTCCAAGGACCTCCTGCAATAATTCACCATTCACTTTATGATGATTTCAAGGTAGATAGAACTTAGCTTTCTCTACAGATTTCTCCCCCTAATAATGGAGTACGGGTCAGCTAACTACCACCTAACTGCCTTGACTATCTTTACACCTGTGCGCATGTGTGTGAATACACATACTAATACATGCACATACACTCACACACAAACACACACACCCACATATGTGCACACACATACACATTTAAGATGACTTCCTACCTGCTACCAACCATGTCCCAAACTAAAGCAGAAACTAGTTCTCCTCATAAAGGTGTCTCAGGTAATATCTCTAGTGAAGGCCACATACCCATAAAGGAAAAAAAAAAAACTTTGCAAAGGTAAAATATAATAATAGTTAGAATTCGTGATTGAAAGATGCACATTGGAAATTAAACTCAATGTTTTTAAGGAAAAGAATCCTAGATTGGATTTAATAAGTAGACTTTAATTCCCAATACAGAGAGGGAAATGAAGAAGGGAGGAAACAAAGGCGTTATCACAGAATGAGACACATGAAAAAGGAAATGACAGAAGAAATATTGATAAATATCTCCCCATCCCCCAAAAAGAAGTTGAGAGGGAAAAAGAAAGCAGAGAGAAGGAAAGGGAAGGAGGAAGCTTCAGGATGCTCTGGCATGGAGGAGAGACTGTGGCAGACACAACAGGAGGTCCACTCACAGCGCCATTCACCTGAGTTACCGGCTTGAGAGCGCCGTTACCCAAAGGAAGGGCAGCATGTTAAGTGATCTGAAATCTCTGAAGTTGACTTACTCCTTAATTGTACCAGCACAGACATGCCCTATTTTAAGAAAATCTGGTATTTGAGAACCCATATTGAAAAGACAGGTTTATCAGTAGGTGATGGTTCTCCTGCCTTTGTAAAATGCTTTTTCTCCCTTGACAAAAGGAGTTGCAACAAGGTTCTTCAGTAGCATGACTACAATCTCCCCAGCACAAAAATTTAGATTTTCATAAAGCTTTTCAAGAACCCATCTGTCACATTCGTGGATACATACCTCCCTTCGTCTGCGTCTGTCTTTCAAGCTACTCTGTCCACTTGCGACGCTCACAAGCTCACAAGCTCCGCTGTTTACAGAAGCTCTCTGCCTTGACATGTCATCACTTGCTTGATGAAGAGTTTGTTTCCTGTCCAATGTTACTGGAAGGAGTTCAGCATCAACCGGGGGTCAGGGAGGAAATGAGAGATTCCTAGCTGAGGACATGGGAGCTGCTGCTTCCAAAAGGGGGGAAAATTCACTTACAATTCTCCCCAGACCTGGCTCTCCTTATGAGGAACAGTGTCAGGGAGGTTCAGAGAAGCTCTGTGCTGATATAAGGGTGTGAGGATTGAGAAGACTTCCAGCTCCATCCTACAGTGGGACCAGCAAAGAGCCATTTTCACAAGCACAGACAACTTCCCCCCAAACACAGCACGTGTCCCAAAAGAGAGTCATCCCACACCACCCGGTACAGAAATGCACTTCTTCCACCACCTCAAGGGTTACACACCCGCAAAGCAGGGCCCAGAAAGGCATCATGTGTGTAGATGCTCCATTGAGCGCTCGCTCCCTGTCTCTTCCTCCTAGTGCCTTACTTCATTCAATGAGCAAACACCTGGCTAGGTAGAGTTCCCACATGATTGAAGAAGAAAAACACCCAAATAATAAAAGATGGGATCTGCTTGCAATGCTGGAGGCCTGGGTTCGATCCCTGGGTCAGAAGATCCCCTGGAGAAGGGAATAACAACCCACTCCGGTATTCTTGCCTGGAGAATCTCCTGGACGGGGGAGCCTGGCAGGCTCCAGGACGTGGGGTCGCAAAGGGTTGGACATGACTGAGTGGCTAGCAGACACGATAAAAGTCGAGGATTAGGAGGAGGGAATGGGTCGGGGAAAAGATTTGCGTGGGTCGAGAGCCTGTGAGGGTGGCCAACCACAGTGACCACATGATGTTGATTAACTGTACTTCCCGAACGCTCCAGGATGGTGCTTGGCTCTGCCAGCCGTGCGCATCTTCGGCCTGCTTGGAAATGTTTGTTTCACCACTCGTAGGCACCTGCGCTAGAGGTATAATCTGAGAAAAAACCCAGCCGCCACTGCCAGCAAACCACCAGCACGACTCCTCGGCTTAATGAGGCTGGAGCGAGCCCCAGAGGCTTAGAGGCTGCTCTTCAAGCTACTCAGATAAATTAAGAAAAGTGAAATTGTTTGCTTACAGACAGAACCTCTTTCTCCTGTTCCTGTTTGCTGTTGCTATAGTTATTCCAGAAGTGGTGTATATACAACAAAAAGACTTCACTGAAGAAAGGAAGGAGAAGACTTTGCCCTCACTGCACCCAGCACTCAAGTCGTGGAGGTTGGGTCCCACTGCCCACAGGGCTGCCCTCACCCACCCTGCATTGTGCTCAGAACAGGAGCCCACCCCAGGGAGACACATGGCCTCTCAGGAGACCCTTGAATCACTTTCTTTTTTTTTTCCCCATTCTGATAACTACGGAGAGATCAGACTGAAAAATATAAAGAAAATTTCTCTTGGTTACTGAAGTAATTTTTTTATAAAAGAAAACTGATTTTTTTCCCTTTATAACTAGCTAAGTATTTGGAAAGAACTCTCTGTAAGAGGCAGATAGAAAAACACTGAAAAATCAAAAATCCCCAAATAAACACCCGAATTTGAATTTCTAAAGGATTTATGAGCAGTATAAATAATACCTTAGGGAATAAGAAGGGAGGGGGAATTCAAACGTTGCATCGTTTTGTTTTGGTTGGCTGAGATTTTATTTTTGTTTTTGTGGGTTTTTTTTAAGGGGGGAAATGCTTGGAAAAATAAAAGTATCTAGTGATTTCAGAAGGTTTCTGAACTTGGCTTTAAAGTCTAAGTTTTGCTTTTCACTCCCCCACACAAAGATGCCATTAGCGGATGGCTTCAGGTTTTGCATGTCCCTCTCTTCTTACGCAGGGCAAATGGCTTGTCTCATGTGCAGAGAAAGGGCTGGAAAATATTTTTTGTGATCTGAGTGCAGCACAGAGTCTAGGATTCCAGAGGAAGTGGAGGCCTCCCGCTCCACACAGGAAACAATCTTCAAGCAGGCCTTAAATGCCAGATTCCAGGCCGAGTTTAACTAACCACTGACAGCTCTGTAAACAAAGCTAGGACAAAAAGAGCCCGCTTCCCCTTTTCTGGTAGTCATTTTGGGTTTGGGGGCTGCAGGGGAATTCTGGAATACTTGACTCCATGGCACAGAGACGCAGGAAAAGCGGACTCCTCAGCTGAAGAGCTGGAAAGGGAAGATCTTTCTCGGATTAAAACCATCACGGAGGAGGTAGGAAAGGAGAAAATGGTTGGGTTACAAAGAGCGGCGACTTCTGAGCTCTGAAAACAGTTTGATCATATGTAACTGCTTTGACAAATGCTGCTGCGCTGTTTAGTCATGGTGCTCTTGCTGTGGTCTTTATTATCATTCTGATATTAATATTCTTTTAGGGTATGCAAATTATGCCTAGATGCTTGTATTATTTTATTTCTCTCTTTACTTCTGCTTTTCTCTTAGTCCCAGACATTCCTTTTCTGGCCACTTTTCTTTTTCTCACTTGTGTTGCCCTTTCCTCTTTCTTTGTTCACTGATTTTTATCACTTTGGTCTGTAGTTCAGCAGGTTACAAAGAACAATATCATTCAGTAGCTTTCGAGTGATCCCAGCAATATTTCAAGTCATCAGACCTCTCTGTCTCAAGATCTTTGCTTAAAAAAAAACCTGTGATTCTGGGATTTTTACTTATTTGTCTCTAAGTTGCATGGATGGGACTGAATTTAGCCCATAAAGGATATGGCTTGGCTTGGGAGTCAGAAATTGATTCCTGGCTACCTCATTCATCTTCTAAAGTGTTTTTATTAAGAATAAAGAAAAGAGGGATAAAATCATGGTGAAGGGCTGAGATGACTCATCTATGATATCGATTTTGCTTCCTCCCCTTTAGATCCAGACATTCTCTGGTCTCCCTAAACCTGAACCCACACCATGGATGATTTTGAACGTCGCAGAGAACTCAGGAGGCAAAAGCGAGAAGAGATGCGTCTGGAAGCAGAAAGGTAAGGTATCTCTGTTCTGTTATCCACAATATTGGTTTTAGGCCTCGAAGAAAGATCATTGGCCTCAAGGGCCAAATGTATGGCACGCTAAACTGTTTGCAAAAGCAATTATAGAAAATGTTCCCAGCCATTAAGACTCTAAATTCTGGGCAAACAAACATCAAGAAAAAGAGAGATTAGAGATTTAATTTGTGTCTTTCATATTATCCATAGACTTTTAAATGACAATGTATGGATAAAAGTTTTAAAATCACTTGTAATATTGAAATGCCAAAAAAAGTGACAAATATTGAATACTGAAACCATTTAGGAAATGGAAGTCTTCGGTCTGAAAGAATAAAGGCAATAAGGCCGGATGGACCTCAGGACACATTTTTATTCTTATGAGAAAAGCAGCCAAATCCAGTATTGGACATATTATGGGTTAGTAGCTGGCAGAGTATGTTATTGTGGAGAGTCTAATTGAAAGTTGTTGTGTTGTGTGAGGCCTCTGTTGTGTTGACTTTCAAGGGCAGGTTGGAGAAATAAAGCAGTGACATATGAAGCACAGGACATAAAAGCATCTTTTAAATCTTTAGGCCTCGGAGCAAAGGACAGCGGCATTTAATGTGACCTTAACTCAGACATTTGTTTGAGAAAGCAGAATAGGCATTCTCAGAAAGAAAAATGTTAAACAGTTATTTAAAATCAAATAGATTTTTGCCTCATAATATTAGTAATTCCAAAAGATGGTACTAAGATAATACCTTAGTGATTCTGTAGTAGAAAACTAGAAACTTATACTGATAGCAAAATATGTTTAAAGCATGTGCTAAATTGCTTCAGTCATGTCTGACTCTTTGTGACTGGTAGCCTGCCAGGCTCCTCTCTCCATGGGGATTCTCAAGGCAAGAATACTGGAGTGAGTTGCTGTGCCCTCCTCTAGGATTTAAAGCATGGGATCTACTTATTTCTGTAGAGAATTCAAAAGAAGAAGGTAAGATTACTGCCTTTGATTAAGTTGGTCAGAGTAGATTGCTGTATGCCACATGGTACCATGAACAGTATCTGGGCTCCGTAGGTTCAGATCCCACCTCTCACTTATGAGCTCTGTGGCCATGAGCAAGTGACTTCTCTCTACACCACAGCCGCCTTATTTGTAAATAGGCATATATCTATGTAGTTTCTGTGTGGTTGTGAAGATTATTGAACTTAATAAATGGCCTAGACTAGTACCTGGCACATAACTATATGTTACTTTTTTTTTAATTGAAGTGTAATTGCATGACAGTGTTGTGTGTTTCCACTGTACAATGAAGTGAGTCAGCTATATGTATACACGTACCCCTCCCTCTTGAGCGTCCCTCCCACCCCACCCCTCTAGGCCATCACAGAGCACAGAGCTGAGCTTCCATGCAATACAGTAACTTCCCACTAGCTAGCTTTATACACATGGTCGTGTATATATGTCAATGCAACTTTCCCAGTTCATCCCACCGTCCGCTTACCCTACTGTGTCCACACATCCGTTCTCTACACCTGCATCTCTATTCCTGCCCTGCAAACAGACTCATTTATACCATCTTTCTTGTATGTTATTATTTGTCAAAACCATTATCCTTAACTAAACAAGTAAGAAACAACAGAGCAATATAGCCAGAGCTAAAAAGTAATGCCAGGAAAAGGTAGTTGTCATACTGTGATGAAACTAGCCAGGAAAAGCTCCCTGGAAGTGGAGAGTCATGGAGGAAGTTAACAATGGTGATGATGAACGAATACAAGGCGGGGCTGTATAGAGGAGGCAGTGACATCTGCAGAAGCTCAGAGGTGGGAATAGGAATCCCAGTGCGAGAAAACTGTTGAGTGCTTCAGGAAGAATGAGTTAGATTTGTATATCTTGGGTGTTTCTATTTCACATAAAAGGCAATAGACAGAGGCTTTGCCAGGAATGAAAACATACTGGGGGATGTTATCTATAGTGGGCCAGAGTGTGGGGGTACTGGAAGGGTTAGTGTTGAACACCCGATGATGAGGACCGAATCAGGGCAGCAAATATGGAAATGAAGATCAATGTGAGCACCTTTAGAGGGAGAATTAGCAAATCTTTCAGGAGAGGGAGAAATTCAAGACAATCCCACAGATTTTAAGTCTGGAGAACTAGAAGGGGAAACTGGGAAGTGTTGCACGCTTGGGTAGGCATGGGGAGAGTGCTTAATTTCAGGTAGAAACCACATCCAAAAAGAGATTTCCTTCAGGTGTTGAGAAATAGACATTCCAATCTTTGTTCAAAAAGGGAGAAAAATTATTATTGGAGAAGTCAGTTTGGGCAGACTCAGTGTAGCAATGGTAGCACAAAAACAGAAAATGGATGGTAGCAATGGTGATGTGAAAGCAAGTAGAGACAGAGAGGTCATATATACATAATGGATGGACTCCCCTAGTGGCCCAGTGATTGAAACTTTGCCTTCCACCTCAGGGTGCAGGTTCAATCCCTGGTCAGGGAGCTAAGACCCCACATGCCTCATGGCCAAAAGACAAAGCAGAAAACAGAAGCAATATTGTAACAAATTCAATAAAGACTTTAAAAATGGTCCAGATCAAAAAAGAAAAACTAATCTTAAAAAAAAAATAAAAGATGAAATGGAAACCATCACAGGAGACAAAAAATCAGGGAGAGGAGGAGAACCCGGGAGAGCATGGGGCAACCATGATAAGTGTACATGGAAGTCTCGTAGGGGTGTCCAGACCCATTGGAGTGCACCTCTTATCCTTTCCAATGATGTGTTATGTGACCTCAGTTTCTCCTGAAAGTCTACAAGATGCTGTACCCCGCAAATGTTTATTCAGCATCAGCACTATGCTAGGAACAGTGAAAAATGGGGAAATACACATAGACATAGCTCCCGTCTTTATGTTCCTCATGATATGCTAGGAAACCAAAGTACAGCAGAATCAGAATACAGACCAGGCCAGGACCAGGGGGCAGATCTAACAGAATTGGGGCTAGAGGGAGTCAAGAGTGGGTACATGAAGCTGGGCATCAGATTAGATCAGTATCTTAACTTCTTCCTTGGTTGTGTCAATTGGGAAATGGGGACTCAACAGGAGAGGAATAATAGAACGAGCTTGTGGTTACACCCATACTATAATTACAGTGAATGAGCTAGGTTCTTTTAGAATTTTGCCTAGGAATTTTCCATACATCTACACAGTTCATTCCTTCCAGTTTTTTGTTTGTGTGGAAGGATACGTCTTCCTTTAAAGTCAATTGTAAAAGAAATGTACCCAGTAAAGCTTAATTAGGCAACCTAAAACAAATTCACACAAATCTGTACTACCCTTGTGTAACTTACATTTCTTCAGGGATATTATAGTTCATGTGACTCCTTTTCTTTCTTTCTTTCTTTCTTTCTTTCTTTTTTTTTCTTATTTTTAGAGAAATTCTTAAGTACTTCCTTATATTTGTACTTATTAAGGGAAACAATTTAGTTATGTTATTCTGTAATTTGTTAAGCAAGCCCATGTTCACCCTATAGGATTTTGTAAAATCTGATCATTTATGGAAATGGTGAAGGTCAGGCTTTATGGTCCAGCCAACTTTGATGGGAAATTTCAGGGTGTGCACAGGAAACAGATGTCCAGAATCAGGAATTAAGCGCCATCTAAAAGCATCTGAAAGGGCATAAGACCCTGGGCAAGTCCCTCTTCTTTTAGGTTTAAAACTTGGCTTCTTCATCTGTGACTGGAGTAGGGGATTGGCGGTAATTTTTATTTTCCTTTAGCTTTTGGTATTGTCTAATTTTTACAATGATCATGTGTTTCTTGGCTTAAAAGCAAATAAAACAATAAGGCAGATTTCCATTTTGAAAAATAAGATTCTATGGGCTTTGGCATTGTACCTGGGGTCAAGATGGAGAAGATCAAATTCTCCTTTGGGTTTATAGAACTAAAAGAAAGAACTCAGCCTTGATCTGGAATGGCCCTAAAGCTCAGGGCTGCAAGCTCATTCACTCACTCACCCACTCATTCAACAAATTTTGTTGGGCTTCTACTCTGCTTCAAGCTTTATTTTGGGGCACTGAGGATAGACCAACAGAATGACAGAATTGGGAAAAGTGTGCTTAATGCTTTTCAACCTGTGTAAAACCAAGTGGTGATCAGGCAACTATACTCGTATGTCCTTAAATGTAATATGTATTCTGATATTCACTGATAGTTTTTAAAGAAGGCTTTTTCCCTTTGTATTCTGTACCCCTGTGGAGAGTGTGGGGAAAATGGTAACACAGAGAAGAGACTGTTGACTTTTCCTCTTCTTACCCACAAAGCCTTTCCAAATAAAAATACCCTGTTATTTTAATTAGTTGTTATTGAGTTTGACTAGCAGGTGCTGTTCTACTTTGCAATGATAAATAATTTAAAACTTGTACTCTCACCAGATGTTAAAACCACAAATTAAAATAAACCAGATTTCTTTACACATTTTATTCCTCAGAAACAGAGTTTCAAAAAGATTACTTAAACATATAACTGTATATTTTGGGCCATGCTGGCTTTTCAGGGTTTGGGACTGACAGTTCTTCACTGCATCTCAACTGCCTTGAGACTCTTGTGCTCACACCTCATTCCAAGGGTTTGCAGTCCAGTGCATTTCAAATCATTTTGCCTGCCATCCCTAGACTGGGAACCTAGTTATATCAAAAATATACTTCCCTTCTTTGTCCTACCCTTAACCTATGCATCTTTTTACTATTCACTTGTCCTTGTCCAACATACTCCGTATTTTTACCTGGAGAAGCATATGGACAGAAGAGTTTGGCACAGTCCATGGGGTCGCAAAGAGTCAGACATGCCTGAGCAGCTAACCCTTGTCCTTCACTTGACTTTCACTCTGAGTCCTTAAGATGAAGACTTTAGAGTTGGTAAAGGAAGTACTTCATTCAGTCTTTAGATCTGATAAAAATCCAAAGACTATCTATTTTATCTATTTGGTACAAAAAAGTATGGAATATCTCTAAAGTACA